CCGATATGATATAGAGCTCTGTTGCAGCCTCCAAGGAAAATAAAGATACGCGTTGTATGAACTGTAGCTTTCCTAATGTAAATGGTTCAACCCACTGTTTTATACACCTGGCACATTTGTAAATACTTATTTATTTATTGGAAATATACCCTACGCAATGCACAATCACATGGTGATTTTGTGTGTAGACCAATAAAGCTTTTACAGTCTGGTTTATAGAAAGCTGCTAATGAAATATTCTTTCTCCCCTTCCCTAAAAAATGACTGTTTTTTTCCTCACTGAGCACCGGCCCGTCTCGCAGCCAGAGCTCCAGAAGTCACAAGCCCCCCTGGAGCAAAAAAAAAAAAGAAAAAAAAAAGGAGCTGTGGGCTCTTAGCGGAGCATCAGGCTGAAAACATTACCTGCTGGTTATTTCACCAGTGTGATTAAAATAGAAGGAATGAGCCATAAATAATGGAGAACAAGAATAACATTGAAAGGACAAAGTTAAAACCAAATAAGCTGGAAATGGCTAATTTAATACTACCTCAGTGCAGCCAAGCCGGTATAGCCCCAGTGCTGTTCTTCAGCTCAAGTTTCTATGGGTATGTGTTTCAAGTACCTCTAGAGGTGATGTTTACCTGGGGCAAAGAGAGCGGGATTCGGTTCTCCTGGGTTTTCTTGTGGAAAATACAATTTCGGTCCCGTGTGTGCTAAAATCTCTTCGCCTGGGAATTTGGGTGGGGTGGGGGAGGTTTATTGTTGGGACCTAAGTTTTTCCCTTTCCCCAGTAGCTGAAGGGAGGTTCGGGACTCCCTGGCACCTGCCGAGGCTCAGTTTGCGTCGTCTCAAGCTCTGATCTCAGTTGTTCAGAAACTCCCTTTTTTTACAGAAGAGGAACCCAAAGGGGTCAGGCTGATCCTGTGCTCTCAATGCCCCGCAGAGCTGATGTAGAAGTCCAGTCCTTGTGAGGTCCTACCCCCTCACTCTGCTGTAGACGTCGCTGGGCTGATGGGCTTTAGGACTTTCCTCTGTCTTTCAGAGGATGTTTTGGGAAGGAACGGGAAGTTTGTGTTTTATTATTCTGGAGGGGCACCCGCCCCGTGGCTACAGTCACTGTTCCCTAATGCGTTCTGAAATCCTCATCATCACTGATCCCAGCGGAGGCTCCTCGGTGCCAAAGGTAACGGCAATAATTACTCAGTCGATGTAATTAACTGTATCACGGGCCAGTCTTATGGCTTTTTATCTTGTCGAACTGCACAGCACGAGTGAGGACCGGCGGTGCGGGGCACGGCAGTTTGCCCCCTCTCCGGCCGGGGACCCCTTTGCCCTTGCCTGGTGGAGACGCCCGTCCAGGGGCTGGCGAGGCGTGGGGGCACCCTAGAAGGCGGTGGTCTTTGTGAGGAGGGGTCCGGGCTTGCAGCAGGGCTCAGGGTGCACGGGCTCCTGCTGGCAGGGCAGGGGTGGGCACATGCAGCCCTTGCCCTTGTCGTCCCCCCGGGGAGTGGCGCAGTAGTCGAGGGGCTCTTCCTCCTCCTCCTCCTCCTCGGCGGCCCCCTCCCTGGCATGGCAGCAGCAGAGGCTGGCGTCGAGGCAGCGGCGCAGCACGCCGTGGAAGGAGTGCCGGAAATTTTCGGAGAGGAAGCCGTAGAGGATGGGGTTGGCGCAACTGTTGGAGTAGCTGAGGATGAGGGAGGCGTTGTTGATGGTGGCATCCAGGCGGCCGGGCAGCAGGAGGTTGACCAGCTGCACCACGTAGAAGGGCATCCAGCAGACCACGAACATGGCGACCACCATCAGCACCAGGCGCGTCAGCTTGCCCTCGGAGCGCCGGCGCTGCTGCCAGCCCACCCGCTGCGCCACCGCCCGCATCTTGCCCACGATCAGCAGGTAGCACAGCCCCATGGCCAGCACCGGCAGCAGGAAGCCCAGCAAGGTGGTGTAGACCACAAAAGCGGCCGACCAGGCCGGGCTCGGCCACAGGAGGTTGCAGGCCACCGCTTGGCCATCGCGGGTGGTTGCCGTACCAGCGAAGACGGGGATGGGCGAGGCCACCAGCAAGGAGAGGAGCCACACGCCCCCGTTGACCATCTTGGCCACCCGAGGACGGCGGTAGGTGGCTGCCCGCAGCGGGTGCACCACCGCGATGTAGCGGTCCAGGCTGAGGACGGTCAAGCAGAAGACGCTGGTGAACATGTTGAGCCCGTCGACGCCCAGCACGGTGCGGCACAGGGCCCGGCCGAAGGGCCAGTGGTGCAGGGCGGCCGACGTGGCCACGAAGGGGATGCTGAGCATGAAGAGTTCGTCAGCGATGGCCAGGTTGAGCAGGTAGATGTTGGTGGCCGTCTTCATCTTGGCGTAGCGCAGGATGACGAAGATCACCAGGGAGTTGCCCAGCAGTCCCAGCAGGCACACCAGGGCGTAGATGCACTGGATCACCACCATGCCCGCGATCTCGCCCGCCTTGCCGCCCCACTCCGCTTGCCCCTGATGCCGGCCGGCCTCCCCCGCGGCCGCGCTGGTGTTGGGGGGCACCTCAGAGGCGGCCCAGCTGGATACGGTCCAGAGGGGCACGCCGGCCACCTGGGCCCCCGCCGGGAGCTGCTCAGCATCGGCGCTCATGCTGGGAGGTGGTCCATGGACGGGACACCGCTGGGGATGGGTGCCAGCCTGCAGGCAGGGCACGGGCAGAGAGAGAAGGGGATGAGAGCTGTGGTGCGCGGCGGATGCAGAGCGTGCTCCCCTGCCTTCCCCCTCGGGTCACGGCCACGTGCTTTGGGCAGCTCCGGCCGTGGCCCCCCCCTGCTCCCTCCATCCTCCCCCCTCCCTGCCCGGGGAACCTTCACGTCACTCCTCAGGCCAGCAGCATCCCTCTCCAGGCCGGGGCATCCCATTTGGGGTCTTAGGGGCTGTGGGCGTGGGGTGTTCATTAACCATGCGTGGGGGGACCTCGGCTGCCAGCGGCAAACCGGTGGCATGACCTGGGAATCAATGCCGTCATCCGCCTTAACGAACCTCTACAAATCTCAATGGTTTCGTTAACCCCTGCGGGGAAAGCAAACAGAAGGAGAAACTGAGGTGGAGATATTTTACCTCTCAATCCTCCAGGGATTGAAAGAGCCTCCCGCCTCCCTCCCGGGGGGCAGCAGCAGGCGCTGGGAGCTGCTCCGGTGGGATCTGCGGGCTGTTGGCAACGCAAAGTCCTGCTTGACCTGAATCAGATGACCAGAAGGATCCGGACCTTTTAAAGTGAAAGACAGACCACGCTTGCCGGATGGGAATACAGGCTGTTCTAGCTCACCCCCATCACCTACGCCATGAAAATCAGCTTCCCCATTAAAAATAAATAATAATAATTAAAAAAAAATCCAACTTTCTGATTTACGCTCTCCGCTTTCCAATTGAAAATAAAGCAGCAGCC